TCTTTCTCTCTCCCTCTCCCTTCCTCTCTCAAATCAATAAAGACATATTTGGAAAAAAATAAAAAAATAGCCATACAAAGAAAGGTCATATGGAAACACAATAAAAGAAGAGGTTAACTTGGGGTGGAGAACTGGGGAACCAGAAATGGGAGAACCAGGTGGCTACCAGAGAGGGTGAAAAGTAGCTTCTGTAATGACTCCAGTTCTTTCTTTCAGTTCAGGAGCAGGCAGCATCCCCAAATGCCAACATCCATATCCTGAAGAAGAAAAGCCGCAAGAGAAAGGTGAGAGTAGCTAGAGGCTTAGGCTATACCTAGAGCCTATAAGTAAGGGGTTAGCAAGCTGTAGTGGGAGAGCTAAGGCCAGAGTTACACAACCTGTCAGAACATTCACCAACTATTTATAACTCTTCCAAGTTGCTTACTGTCTGAAGAGAGATAACTCACAGGGCATTTAGAATGAAATGCAGTGTTATGCATGTACTTAGCAGAGTTGTTACTTTCCTTTTTTCCTGATAATTCTCATGCTCAGTAACCACTTATAGCATGGTATGTAACCTGGGTCCTGCCCTCTACAAACTTATCAGCCCATGTAGGAAAACATGATCTAAACACTGGATAAATGAAACAACAGTGGAAGAACTACCTAAAAACCGAGGTGGCATGGTTGAGGGAGGAGCCACTTATTGAGTACCTTCTCCTTTATGCTTCCCTAGGAGTGGAAGAGAGCTGCTGCTTTTTTAGAAATGAGGGACCAGATTTAAGAGCTTACTATGTGCTTTATGTTCATCAACTCATTCGACCTTTACAGCAACTCTTAGCGTTCTTTCACAAGTTGGATAAAATGAGAATCAGACCAGAGGGAAAAGTTTTTGGACAGACACTTGACAGAAGGAAAAGAGGCTGGAGAGGGTGGGTAAAGTAGCCTCTGTTAGGCTATGCTTGGCAGAAGAGTCCAAAGCCTGCAGTGGGCTGAACAGCAAACTCTGCTGTTTTTGTCACTCACCTCCCCCTACCTCACAGTTGGAGTGCCTGGATGCCACAGAGTCGAAGGAAATTGCTGAGGACTGCTGGGAGCTACAGATCAGCCCAGAGCTACTTGCCAATGGGCGCCAAAAAATACTAGATATGCTGAATGAAGGCTCAGCCCGGGATCTGCGCAGCCTGCAGCGCATTGGCCAAAAAAAGGCCCAGCTCATCGTGGGCTGGAGGGAGCTCCACGGCCCCTTCAGCCAGGTAATGGCTCAGGAGGACAGCCCTGGAATGGAGTTGAGGGATTTAGGGGGAAGAGTCTGGTATCCCCTAGACCCTTTGCTCATCGCTGTTGACCTGTCAGGTGGAGGACTTGGAACATGTGAAGGTCATGTCAGGGAAACAGCTGGAGTCTTTCCTAAAGGTGAGCTCGAGGCTTGGCCCCTCCTCTCCCTGGCCTGTGCCCTGCCCCCGGCTCTAAAGCAGCTCTCCTCTTCCTCCTGTTGCAGGCGAACATCTTGGGTCTTGCCGCCACGGGCCAGCACTGCAGCCCCTGCTGACTGCCAGCTCCTCTCTTCACTTGGCCTTTTTTTTTCTTTTCAGTCCTTGTATAACCGCTTCTTGTATAAATACAGTTTTAACTCCGTTGCTTCAGCCTGATTCTTGGGACTATGGGTGGTGAGGCCGGGGTATAACTGCCCTTGGGACGAGCCACAAGCTCCGCTGTAAGTTCTCTGGGCGCCATCTTTGGGACATCTTTAAAGTAGCACAAGGTTGTGAGTAAACTATTGGAGCCGGAAAGGACGGTGGCCGATAGGAAACAAAAAGTTGACGCAAAAGCCTGTGGACGACGACCGACCGTTAGGCGGGCGCGCGCTTGGAGTTTAGCTCCGCCCTACCCGTGCCCCTGCGCGCGCTCCCCTTTCCACCGTTCATCAACGACAGTGGTTTTGTGCGCGTGCGCGAGAAATAACGGCTGCTGGCGGAGGGAGGAGGGGGGGTAAAATCTTTTAAGTGGGGGGAGAGAAGCCGCCGTCTCCCGCGCGCCCACCACCTGCGCCATCGTCAGCCAATCAGCGGCCACCTCAGGGGTCTCGCGCTTGGGACGACTTTGGCTGCCGGGCGGCTCCTCCAGTCCCTCCTCCCGTCAGAGTCCCTCTCCTACCTCCCCCCTCCCGGCTGGCCTCGCGCGCGCGCACTCGAGCTCGCGCCCGCTCCAGCCTCTTGTGTGTCCTC